AAAAGAGAAGATGGCATTGAACGGGTAACAGCCTACGCAAGTCGCACACTGTCTCGCGCAGAATCTAACTATTCCACATCAGAGAAAGAATGTCTCACGGTCATTTGGGCAATTACAAAGTTTAGGCCATATCTCTATGGAAGACCATTTAAAGTGGTGACTGACCATCATGCTTTGTGCTGGTTGACCAATCTACGAGACCCTTCAGGACGATTAGCACGATGGAGTGTGTGCCTACAGGAATTTGATATCACGAACGTGTACAAGTCAGGCAAAAAGCACGAAGACGCCAACACGCTATCACGAGCACCTCTTCAATCCGCCAGTACTAGCGCAGAAGAGGATGGCGCCTTCGTGGCAACTCAGCGGACCGGATCTGATGTCTCATCAACGAAATGACGCCGATCTAAAAATGATTATACATCACTTAGAAGGTGGCACCGCGCCCATTCCTCGAATGTTGCCATCATTTTGACTACGAAATGGCGTCTTATACAAAAGGAACGCCGGTGCTGGTGACAAATCTCATCTTCTCGTCGTGCCTGAAGCCCTCCGCGACTACGTCTTATGAGCTTGCCACGACGAGCCCACATCGGGTCATCTGGGCTACTCGAGAACTATGGATCGGGTGCGACAACTCTACTACTGGCGTAAAATGTCTGCCTGTGTCAAACGCTACGTGAAGGGATGCCGTGAATGCCAGCGTCGCAAGACACCACCTTTAAAGCCTGCAGGCTATCTACAACTGACCGATCCACCACGTACACCGTTTGAACAAGTGGGGATGGACCTCCTAGGCCCGTTTCCTTTGTCTTCTTCTGGCAAAAAATGGATTATTGTCGCAACCGACTACTTGACGCGTTACGCTGAGACGAAGGCGTTGCCAAGAGGGACCGCATCTGAAGTTGCCAATTTTTTATGCATCAAATTGTGCTACGGCATGGCGCCCCGTCATATGTCATCACTGATCGAGGGACATGATTCACAGCGAAACTCTTGGATGATATCTTCAGGTTGAGTTACACAACCCATCGAAAGACCTCTGCGTATCACCCTCAGAGTGATGGTTTAAGAGAAAGGTTAAACAAAACGCTAGCCGACATGATCTCTATGTACGTGGAGGTGCAGCACAAAACGTGGGATGACATCCTGCCGTACGTAACATTTGCGTATAACACTGCAACGCAGGAAACTACACGCTTCACGCCATTCCGGCTCGTTTATGGTCGAGATGTTAGAACTATGCTAGACGCCATGACTCCGTATGAGGACATCAACAAGCTCGACCAATCAGCCCCCGACATCAATGAGTACATTCAGCGCGCTGAGGAAGCACGTCAACTGCCCGTGTGCACATCCGAACTCAACAGTACGCAGATGCACGGTGGTACAACATCCACCATTGAGAAGTTATTATGAACCTGGTGACTAAGTTTGGGTTTGGACACCTATTAGGCGGCAAGGTCTCAGTGAGAAACTCTTGAGGAAGTACTTTGGACCTTACAAAGTACTCACACATGTGAGCGACGTCAACTACGAAGTGGTTCCAGACGGAGGCTCACCATCATCCCAGCGTAGGCTACTACGCCAAGAGACTGTACACGTAGTCCACCTAAAACCGCACTTTACGCGGTGATGCGAATTTTCTCCTTGTGCCAGTGAACTCTTCATGTGAACAGTGAACGCCGTGTATTTCCGATTGCAGGGCCAGGACGCATTTTCTCTCTTGCACTAATTTGTTTGATGTTTCTTTATGTTGCCTACTTCGACGCACTGCTGTGCACACTTTTGTTTGAGCATCGGGGCGATGCTCTCTTAGGAGGAGGAACAATTCCACCTGGTGTTCTGTGCCAGTGAACAGTGGGTCAGTTCTGTGCCGGTGAACGAGGAAGTCGAAGACGAGCAACCCGTGCCAGCGGAGACGTCCTTCTTTGTCTCTAAGATTTAGACAGTCGCGTCCCTTTGTACGTTCCTTCGGGCTCTTAGCGCGTGACAATATATATGCAATGCGGGATGAATAAATCTACAGTTGATAGTCTGCGCTTGCCCTTGTCTTTTTATCATCTGTGTTTTCTACCGCGCAGTGCACTTAGATGATGCGAAAACACAGTATTGTCAAACGCTGGATGATCCAGAAAACCACCATTCATGTCCGCTCTTGGTTCCGCACAAACATTGCAAACACTGATTCAGTAGCTCCCAAAACAGCATGAACATCCTTCCATGATCACTAAGCTTTGTTGTCATCACAGGACGAGGATTCCGCTGGCACCTTGCATGGCCTTTCCGTCCTCAATTCGTAACAAGGCCTAGCTGCTCCAACTGCAGTTAGATAAACAAGAGATTTTCATGATCAGCAGTGCTGAGGAACTGTTTACTTCGCTGCTGAGTGCCTTCTTTTATTTAAATCATTGTCAATATCTTCAAAGACAAATTTCTAGTGTCATTTTGAAGTGACAGTTAACTGCTCTCTGTGCATAAAATTTAGAGCAACGGTAAAGCCACAAATACATTTCGTGACGGAGATAAGTGTAGAAGGAAAGTGGAGTATTTGAACCTTGTCAATACAAACCCTAGTCTACGCCGCTGACTTGAAATTGTTGTCACTATTGTGAGTAAATTTGTTCAGGCAATATCACGCCAAATGGAAGCGATGTTTTAATGCGTGTCATTTGGGTCGTAAAGTTTTATTAATACCACCACTTTACATTTCTGCTTATGCTTTGTGGCCAGAAAAACTAATTCAGGGAAGAGCTTGGACATTGAACTGGTTTATTTTATAGAATATGAATTGTGTACTATTTGAAGAAAGCAAATATACAGGCTTACATTTACGACTTTTACCATGCACATGAGTTCTAGCTATATTTCTCGTCCATGGTCTAAAAATCGGGTCCTGATGCACGTAGTGCATCTTGTAGCTATTTGTGGCTATCTATAGGTTTACCTACTGGTTATATAGCTGGTATATACCTTCCTCTTGAAAGATAGGTAGATTGCCACTATTCCTCAAGAGGAAGGTATATGACAGCTGCATCTTGCCGGTACTTAGCTATGGAGCACAAACCCAGAGACTTAAAAAGAAGGTTCAGCTTAAATTGACGACAACGCAGCCAGGAATGGAAAGGAAAATGGTAGGGGTAACCTTAACAGACAAGATAAGATCAGAGTGGTTTAGGGAACAAACCGGGGTTAAGGATATTATAGATGAAATAAAGAAGAGGAAATAGACATGGGCTGGGCCTGTAGCACGTAGACAGGGTAACCACTGGTCATTAAGGGTAACTAACTGGATTCCGAGAGAAGGCAAGCGGGTTAGGAGAGACAGAAGGTTAGGTGGGCAGATGAGATTAAGAAGTTTGCGTGTATAAATTGGCAGAAGCAAGCACAGGACCAAGTTTACTGGTGGAACATCGGAAAAGCCTTTGTCCTGCAGTGGACGTAGTCAGGATGATGATGATAATGAAGATGAAGGTGATAGGTTTATGTAGGTACTTAAACACAAGTTGTTGGCTTGATGTCTAAAATTCACCTAAATGTTCTCATTAGTCTTCATTACTTGATGCATCCTTGAACACAAGTGCTTATCGCTAACGCAATCCGGCTTGTAACGGTACTTTTGCATTACCTCTCGCTTCAGTCAAATAGTATATATATATCGGGGCACGTGAAAATCCAGTATTTTATTCATGTAGCGCAAAGGCTTTTTACACCGGGGTCCACCATGACTTCAATTACGCATTTTCGTCATGGAACTGACGTCAAAAACACAATTACAGGACAAAGAAATATTCCGTCTTCAGGAGTTGAACCCTTGATTACCAGGTCCGCGGCAGGAGATACTGGGCACGCAAGCACTGTACCATGGTCACTTTTTTGCTTGGTATTAAATAAAGTATTTGCATATTAAAGACAAAATCAAGCAAACAAAAGTACAATTACAAGGCGACAATAAGCGCTGAAGCATTACTGATAAACATTGAATGGCTATCGCAGCGTGAGTTCTTCACATCCTGTTATGCAAACAAGAAAGGGTTGAGGCCAAACACTTATCGAAGATAGAGTACAAGTCTGATCTAAAGCCTTGGCAGCCGTGAATGTCTTTGAGGTGAATAGCCATTTGAATTAAGTGTGTTTGAAGTGGTAGCGGAGTCTGCATTGCAGTCCTGCGTGCGGGTCTTCCATAAGCTGCGCATACACACGAGTAAAAACATGTCATATGGCACTTCATCAAGCGATGCTGGTAGGAGATGATGTATGATCTGAGAATTAGTGACGAAACGTTTTTTTAGTGCTCGTTGAAGGACATCATAAAACAGAATGAAATTTTTGCAGCTAACAGTACATTGTGCAATTGTTCTTGGCGCATTACATGACGGCTGTTGACAAATGAAATAAAAATACCATTTTTTAACCATGTGTTTACCGCTAGTGTTAAAGAGTGGAGTTTATATAAGAATGTTCTTAAATTTGGCGGAATGTACATTTTGAGCAATGTTTTCAACACGTCGGGGCCTGGAAGATCGGAGTACGGTGAGTGGTACAATGGAGGTGGGAACAGTATACTTAGTAGATTCTTATGCAGTAAATCAGTGTCCACTACGCACTGATTAATGGCGGAGTGGGTATCCTGCAAGTGTGCTTCCAGCAGCTACTCAAAGAGGTTTAAAAAGACTCTCTTAAAGGCCACTCTAGCTTTCGCCGCGACAGTGCCGTGCCTTCAGCGCTGGCCTAGCGCTTCTTATGAGTGCTTTGGAAAGCACCCTTTTTCAAAAGTGCTCCTACCATGATTTTAGCGCACAAAACAAGATGTTATGCAATCACCAACTCACCCAACAGCTAGTTCTTATCAAAGGAGCTTGTTTAACACACTAAGAAAGTCGTCACTGCAACAAGCTCATTTACACCTTTTTCTGGTGCAAACGTTTTTTTTTTTTTGCAAAGTAGAAGTTAGTAGTTTATCAACAGCTTCTGAGAAACAAAAAAATATGTTCGGGCTTCTATGTTGACTTCATTAGGGCAACGAACTCTTCACAATTAATCTGTCGATCTCCGTCCATGTCGGCTACCCGTATCATGTTGTCAACTTCTTCGTCCGTCAGGTTCTCGCCCAAGGTGCTCATGACCTGTTGCAACTCAGCTGCAGTGATGAATCCGTTTCCGTCCCTGTCGAACACCTGCACAAGCAATCGAGATAAACTGCACATCACACATGGAAACACTTATAGCACGAATGCACATGGCGATTGCAATATATAGTAATAAGTTGAGACTTGTGAATGAAAAAATTGCGATGCCACTACGAAGCGCTGCCAATATACCTATCTAGCTCACGAAGGCTGTCAAAATAATGATTTCATGTTTAGCTTCACTTATCCAATTTTTTTCAAACTTGCATATTGTAACTACGAATTAAATATTTCCACCTTTCCTTCGACTGTCAAGCCATACGTGATAGGAGCTCCTACTTTGATATGAGATATTTTGTATCACAAAATAGAAGTGAAGATTCTGTTGAGGAAGCCATTGCCATAGAGCGTTACCATTAAACTTTTATCGAGGACTCTATTTTTTATGATCACTTGCCATGACGGGGGGAGTTTGAAACGATGTATTGTGCACGTTGAGATGCTGCAAATCACGGCATGCATTCAAAATCAAAGGAGCTCCTTTCTATAATAACACAATCAACACGTTATTCATTCGCGCATAGTCAGTAACTGGTCTCCGTCCTGGTTTTGCACCTTTTCGGTGTTCGTCACTGGTCAAGGTGTGTTAAGCATTTTGATAGATAATCTTTTGAATACTTCCAGTTGCCACATATTCGACGTTAAGGCGGTATATATATATTAAAAGCACAAGGATGGCATTTTATTGTGATGCTGCCAATATTATAGCACTTGATCTTGTCTGAGGCAGCTTTATCTGAACAGCGGGAGTGAAGCACATCAAGCAAGCTTCGCTTACACGTGCTACGATACTTCCACCCGTGCTTGTTGAATACCTATTCGTATCATTTATACATTTGAATCGCTTCACCAGAATACTCAATAATGACTCAAGCCTGAACTAATTGCGGTAAACTGAAGAGAAGACTGCTCACTCTGAAAGCCTCGCGCATTTCATCTTCGGTGTCTGCAGTGCGCGCTTTCTTGTTCATCATGGCAATGAACTCCGAACAGCCGACGGTGCCGTTGCCATTGGTGTCCACCTCGGCAATCATATCCTTGAGCTCGGCCTCGGTTGGGTTTTGGCCGAGGGCGCGTATCACGTTGCCGAGCTCTTTCGTGCTGATCGTGCCACTCCCTTTCTTGTCGAAAAGCGCGAAAGCCTCTCGTAGCTCCGCGATCGTCTCCTCAGGGAGCAGCGAGCAGCTCGAGTCACTTGGTGATGGGCCACCACCACTGCCACCCCCGCCGCCGCCATTAGAAGCAGTGGCCTGCCCGGCCATTTTGTCGGCGCCTTTGCTGGGGCTTGCGTTGCCACCGGTGCCGCTGCTACTGGGAAGTTGGGCGAACTTTAAGCACACTGTGAGCAAGGGCTTCAGACGCTGGTACTGCAGTCGGAACAGTGGTTGTCGGTGGCCTTCCAGGCTAGCACGTTGGCGGAGAGGCCTTCAAGGGGTGCGTGGCACCACTCCGCCGCCTCCTGCGCCTAGCCCATTTTTCGGAGCAGACGTCGTGCAAAAACAATGATGATAACCTGCTACTGTGCCATTGGTCCACTACCTAATATAACCCAATAATTAGGCGCGATACGATGGTTAGTGATAGCGGGATAAATGACACCAACTGACAGGAAATAGAGCAGATTTTTGTCATTCAAAAATGCACGAGGCCTCATGCACTGATGAAAAAGTAGCAGCTTCCCCACAACGCCGAAGCCACAAATGCGACACCAACATACAGGAATGCCACACGAGGAACCGCAAGCAACTTGAAGCTTTAAGCGTGCCGTTCAAGAGAAAGAATGCACGAAAACAAACACACACAAACACGCATGATAAGAGCGAGTTGACTATCACAGTGTCACTACTCGACATCATAGCGCTCTTTCAATGAACTTTAAACATGACTTTAACATAACATTTGAATGAACACAAACTGACCCATAGCAAGATGAAAAAACAAAAATAGCTTAAGCTGAAACGCAAAAAAATATTAGTCTAGAATACTAAGTAGACTACAGAATTCTAAAATACAGAATCAAAGAATTGGTTCACACTACGCAAACATACAAAAACACAAAAACACTAAGAGCAAAAGTCTGCAGATACAATCTACCATGGAACTTAATGTGTATGCGAAAGATGCGAAGGGAAGGTGACCGTAGTGTAATTTCTTACGCATTAAAGTGCACTTGTTACAAAATGATGCTAAATATATGTACGCTTAGAGATGTGCAACTGTCCCATATTTTCGATAGAACAACTTGTTTACAGTTACCTAATGATGCTACCAGCAAGGTGCGTATTACGAACACCAAAAGCCGTAAGCTAATAAGTAACGCTCGTGCTTACGAGAATGATAACCTTTGCTAGCACTACGCAGACTATTTGCAGACGATTGCGTTGACACGACATAACGCCTGCATCAACAGAGTACATTTCTAATGCTTATAAAATTTGATACCCAGCCCCACAACGAAAACGGTCCTATCTCCACCATTACGCCTGCATACAATTCATTTTCCAAAGCAATTTGGAGACTCGGCGTGGATCTGTAGAGGAATACTTGATTACAGCAGAATCCTTATTTGCGTTCGATTCCTGCTGAGACCCGGATATTTACTGGTACCATTTTTCGTGTCAAGGCTGTCTATGTTAGCTTTTCTGAATGCCCTCGCATTTGTATTGCTAATGGCTGTTCTAGCAATTCCTTGGGTAGATATTGTCACAGGAGTGTGACGTGGACGAAGGGAGCAGGCTTCATATCGAAGATCAAACTTTATTCAGGTTGTACTTGGGACGAACAAATGAAAAGATTACAGTGATACACACTGGCACCGATAGCAGCGAACGGGGCGTCGGCCGTCGATCAACTGACAAGCAGCGTAGCGTGTCGATATTTATACACTTGCCATCAAGCATTCTAGTGTTATCGCTTGCGGCGACGTATAGGTTCCAAAATAATCTGAAAGGTTCACGATGTAGGCGTAGTCTTAACACAATAATATATTGCAGTCCTGAAGCTTCCCGAACACTGTAGGGGGGGTTTGCGTTGGGACCTTGCGTACAGTGCAACAGGGCGATGACAAAACTTCAGAAGAGCGTGTCATTTCCCCCCTCTAGAAAAAGCGTCGTCCGGATGCTTGAAACAAAAATACCAATAAAGCTAAATGTATAACAAATAGGTACAAGCATTAAATCACAATCAGAGAAACAACAAATAGTACAGTCCCCAAGCTTGTTAACGCGCGTGGGCATGGACGACTTTAGGCCATGCGCGGCGCCACTGAAAGTTCTTGATGCTATCGAGGACAACCTAGTAAATAAGTGGGCCGGGACGTCGAACAACGCTGTGTGGCCCGAAGTACCATCGCAGAAGTTTTTCGACTGAGTCCACGTCAGCGTATTGGCGTGCATACTCAAACAGTTCTTCGGGCTGGTTATCACACGAAGCGTCGTCGAATATTGTAACAGCGGCTGTCGGACGCCCGTTTGTTCTTGATGTGGAGACGGTCAAGTTGTCATGCTTCTTCGGCGTGCTGAAGGTACTCACTCACATCAAGGTTTTCTTCGTCGTTGACGTTTGGTAACATGGCGTCGGGCGTCATTGCCAGGGTCCTTTAGTAAATCAACCGACGCAGATGACGCCGTAGAACGGCGTCATCTGCGTCGTTTCTTGTACGGTGGTGTTGTATACGGAGGTCACGTATGGAAGGATGGCATCTTACGCCTTGTGTTTGACGTCTACGTATGTACATGGCCAGCATGTCGGCGACGGTATTGTTTAGGCGCTCGGTGAGGCCATTGGTCGGTGGGTGGGGTGTTGTCATATGACGGTAGCTTGTTTCACTGTATGCCGAAATCGCTCGGGTTAACTCAGCTGTAAATGCCAAACCTCTGTGATGACAACCTCTGGGTCACCGTGACGCAGGACGATGTTTTCGACGAAGAATTTGGCTGCCTAAGATGCACTACCATTGGGCAGGGCTTTTGTCTCGGCTTAGCGAGTACGGTAGTCGGTAGCTACGACGATCCATGTGTTTCCAACAGCCGACGTCAGGAACGGCTCAAGTAAGTCCATACCGATTTGTTGGACCGGTCCGTGAGGTGGTTTGACGGGCTGCAGAAGTACTGCTGGCCTTGTCGGTGGTGTCTCGCGTCGCTGGCAGCCCCGGCATGTCCTCACGTAATGAGTGACGTTGGTGGCAAGGCGGGGCCAGTAGTATTTTTTTTGTATTCTCACGAGCGTGCGAGAAAAACAAAGGTGGCCAGCCACTGGGTCGTCGTTTAGGGCCTGCGGAATTTCTGGTCGCGTTGCCGAAGGTGCAGCGATAAGGTAGCTCAATCTGGCTAGATAGAAGTTCTTTACGATGAGGTTGTTCAAGAAAAATGACGCCAGTCCTCGCCTGAAGACTTTTGGGGCGACACTGGTCAAGCCCTCGAGGTATTTCATTTGCCCTCTCAGTTCCGGGTCGGCTCGCTGTCGCTAGATTAAGTCGTCGGCACTTATGGTCCCTAAGAAGTACCAATCCTCCTGGTCGTCCTGCGGTGGTGAATCGACGGGGGCACGAGACAGCCAGTCAGCGTCCGAGTATTTACTTCCAGACTTGTACAGACGGTAATGTCGAAATCTTGTTGTCTTAGGCGCCACCATGCGAGGCGACCAGAAGGGTCCTTCAAGATAGCTAGTCAACACAGGGCGTGGTGGTGGCTCAAAACTTTGAAAGGCCTGTCGTAGAGATAAGGGAGAAATTTCGACGTTGCCCAGATGATGGCAAGGAACTCTTTTTTTGTTGTGGAACTCCTTTTTCGTTGTGGAGGCCACAGCCTTGCATAGCGACCTGTTAGTACAACTGACAACGCTTTCCAGGCCGTCGGTAATTTGTACAAGGACCGCGGCGAGTGCCACGCTGCTTGCGTCGGTGTGTACCTCTGTTTTGGCGTATTCGTCAAAATATGCAAGTTGCTGTGGTGTATGTCTGCAGGCGTCGTTTCAGTTTTTGAAATGCTTCAATTGGCGCCGTTTCCCACACGAAATTGACGTCGGTCTTCGTGGGCTGCGTTAGTGGCTCGGCGATGTGTGAAAAGTCCTTGAGGAAGCGTCTGTGATAGGCGCACAAGCCCAGAAATCAGCGCACGTCGCGGAGAAGACCTCGACACCAGCCATGAGCAGCAATTTATCCGCAGGCAACAAGGCCTGCCGTCATAGTATGGGCTTCTACCTGCAAAAACTCCGAAGCCCAAGATGTTGACGACGACCCCGGCTACAATGACAGCGCCTGCACCACCTGCACCGCTCCTGCTCGGGCAAGCTAAGGAGCTGCCAATTTTCGCGGTTCGCCGCTCGAAGACACACAAAGCTAGCTAGAAAGGTTCGGCCGAGTCGCCACCTTCAACGGTTGAACCGACGACGACAAGCTTCGGCACGTCTATTTCACTTTAGAAGACGCTGCTCGGTCCTAGTTCGCGAATCAAGAGCGAGACCCGACAACGTGCGACGTTTTTAGGGCCAGATTTCTTACCACTTTTGCAAGTGTGGTCCACAAGGAGAAGACTGAAGCCCCATTAGAACCCCGCATGCAGCTGCCAAATGAGAACTTGGTGCTCTTCACGGAAGAGATGACAAAATTTTTCCGTCACGCCGACCACAAACTGCCTGAAGACCAGAAGTCCGCCTCCTCATGGGAGGAGTTAAGCAGGAGTTTTGTGAAGTACCGATGCGCAACCTTCCGAACAGCTTTCAAGAGTTTGTCTTATAAACGACGACTATAGAAAATACCTTTGAAATGCTCAGACGAGAATTCAATCGCCACTCGACGCCAGGCTGTGCAGAGATCCAGCCACTCTGATCTAACGATCTTCTGAAACTATACGAGCCGCATTGCGCGACACGCTTCGCCGAATGTTCTCTTCGAGCCAGTCTCACGTTTCGTCAATCGCAGACGTCGCCAGAGAAGAAATTCAGGAATCGCTAGGTATGGCCGAGTCAGCGCAGCCACATCCCTAAGCCACAAGGAACGCTGCTGCTGCCCAACGCTAAGCTCCACTCTCACGTCCACGTCAAGAGGCCATGCCGTCACATTTTCTTCACCAGACACTGCCGCCACCCCCACTGACGACATACCCAGCACCTTCACCAGATGTCACCGGGGCGTGCCGTGGACGAAGGAAGCAGGCTACAGATTGAAGATGAAACTGCTCATTCGGGCAGTACGTGTGACCAATAAATAAAAAGTGAGATTACAACGATACACACTGGCGCCGATAGCGGCGAACAGAACGTCGGCCGTCGATCATGTGACAAGCAGCGAAGCGTGTCGGCATTTATACACTTGACACCGAATATTCTAGCGTTATCGCTAGCGGCAACGTAGGTTCCAGAATAATCTGAAATGTTCACGTGCTTGGCGTAATCTTAACACATTGATCTACTGCAGTCCTGAAGCTTCTCAAACACTGCGGGTGCGGTTGGCGCTGAGAATTGTGGAAAGTGTAACGGGGCAATAACAAATCGTGAGCAAGGAACGTGGCAATGTAAACTGAAAATCACCTCTGGCGCATAACCGCATACTGCGGCCTAGGCTATACGGTATGTGCCCCACGTGAGTGGAGCAAGGCGTTTGACGATGAACGCTACAGGTATTTTCACCGTATTACTGTCGTGATCTGATGGCCCTATTCTTCAGACTCTCTTACACTCCCACACCAATTTTTGACTGCACCGAGTTTAGAATGTCATCACGGGAGCACCCTGACTTGGCTAGATAGATAGATAGATAGATAGATAGATAGATAGATAGATAGATAGATAGATAGATAGATAGATAGATAGATAGATAGATAGATAGATAGATAGATAGATAGATAGATAGATAGATAGATAGATAGATAGATAGATAGATAGATAGATAGATAGATAGATAGATAGATAGGGTCACTGTTTTTGCAGTGTGCCGAATGAATGAACTGAGCCTTTATTGCAAAGAGGACGGCTCTGGGCCACAGCTCAGGAATAGGTGAGGAAGGGATTGTTGGGTGTACAGCGTGAGCATATTAAACTAACATCGGTTCGCGTTCATCTATTTTCAGTATAAGTTTTATAGAGTCACTCTCCCACGAGATGGTCGACCTCTTCTACACCACTCGAAACAGGCCACTTATACTATGATAGTGGCCTAATCACGTGTGAACAGTGGGAGTGCCTCAGACCGGCTGAGCAACGCTTCGATAGGAGGACATATATTTCTCAAAGCCATCGTGTCATTCTTCGCATGTTAGTTTTAAAGGGGTTAGTAGTGACGTCATCTCCTGGTGGTGGACCCGTTGTTCTGTTGATAATCGCGGTCTGAAAAAAAACAAATCTATAAAGCACATGAGTGCAGTCCTCGCTTCATTTTAAGTTAGGTAGTAGTGATTAAATATTCTCGGAGCATGAGGGGAAGAAGGGAAAGAGGAAAGAAGGGAAACATCCATAGTAGGAGCGGTGTGCTGCAAAGTGGTGGGCGCTTCAGACACGGACGAACGAAAGAGCTTGAAACTTCGACTTCATAAAAGGTTGCTGACAATAGTGGCGCACATCTGTTCCCGAACATTTATGAATGAGACGCTCGCCGCAAACTCTTGTTTATTGCGTGCCTTTACGAAACATTATATAGATCATTCCGCGTGGCAAAACACACATGGCAAAACCGTACACATGCTACCAAGGAAACCTGGTTGGGAGCTAATCTCAAAGGGTACGCAATCAACAAGAGTTGGAAGTTGGTGCTCACACTGTCGTCTGTTTCGTTTCCCCTTTTTTACTGCATAGCATCTCTTCTTCACGCTCAAATTGAGCTGCGCTAAAGCCAGGTCACTTTATCATGCACCAGTTCGCCCAGTCAGCAGTACTTGTCGATTTTATTTCTAGTTCAAAGGGCCCTTTTCCTATCTATCGTAAACACCCTTACGCCATCATGTCGCTCAGTACCACTTTAGTTTGCAGAGCTCGTTCTCTGGGCTTCCGTGTCCACTGGCAAATTCTTCCGTAAGAAGGGGGGGGGGGCCTCTGTGGCTTTGTCCTTTATGTAGGGCACATCACAAGGGTGTGCAAGATCCTGAAATCGGAGCTTCACAGACAGGCAAGACTATATCAGCAACTTTTCTTCACGCGGTTACGCATAGAAACCAATCCCTCGTCGTTGGAAATGAACGTGCTCCTAATTTCCTGCCTGATCGCCCAGAAGAGAATAGTTGAGTGGCATGTCTGCTTGAGACAGCTCCGTAGCCGTCTCCCTAAGAAAGTTCTCGAACGCCACAATGGTGTGTAGGTGACGGAGCAGGTTAACCTTCAGGGCTACAGTCGTGAAGATCTGTCATTGGGTCCCAAGTTCGCAGTGGAAACCAAGAGAAGACCCGAAGAACTGTCGACTTTCGTGAGACAGGTGTCAAAATATGTAACAGAGGAAGCGGTTCGACGTCTTATTTCTGAGGATGTTGAAGTGGTAGCCCGCTCTAAGCGAGCCAGTCCGAAGCTCTCGGCTAAGCGTGTCGCTGACAACCTGACAGACAATTCTCTATGTGTGCTGCCATCTGATAATGAAGGTGGCTTCTGTGTGCTTCCTACGGG